CAGCAGCAACTTGACGACCAATGGTACAACCTTCGCCATCGATTCGTCACCTATGAACCACGAGATAGAGTGAGAGTTTGGTTTCTTGTACGATGGTGAAGCCTCTCGGTGAAACACCTACGCCGATAATTTGGACCTTACAAGGTTCTGTGCTGTATTAGCAACGTGATGTACGAAGCCGTGCACGTAGCCTCCTCCTGTTCGAAACGTCGCCAGCATCTGCCTGAGACAGTGCACGTGGTTTTCATGAAACTTTACCACTCTAATTGATGTAAGCACCCGCCGGCTGCATCTCTACCTGTTGAGCATCGGAACGACGCTCACTCTGGCGGAAGGGTGATTCTGTGGGCAAAGCTGCATTTAGCAGCCAGAGAGCGACCACAACGAAGATCGCGGATTTGCTCGAGAGGCGCAGCGCAGGCGAGTGAAGAAGACGACAATCTTAGCGGGCTTCTTTTGAGAGTGACTCTACGAGTTCCACTGTCCGTGTTTTCAAATAAACCCTTTGTAATTTGTAAAACGGCGACAATATATAAATATATATATACACGTATACATACATATGTATATACCTATATATATAAATATATACACCTATACATACATATATATATATATATATATATATATATATATATATATATATATACAAAAAATAAATCGAAACATAAAGAAGTTCAGGCGCGCAGAATCGAATTTGGGTCTTGTATTTCGTGAGCGCGAAGCGTTACCCACTTAGACACCAAGAATACCGTCCGTCATTCTTCGAACGCCAAGCTGATTATATCTAACACGTACCACTGCTAGCGGGCATCTTGGGGGGATTGATTGTGTTTTCACCATTACCAGCAAGATGGCGCCATGAGTGCGCTAACCATAACGCGCGGAGGCATGTGCTCTAATCTCCCACGCGTACATTGCCCCAACCAGTGCGAAATGCGACACGCTGTATTTCGCACTGATACGTTACCCAACAAACACTGCGTCTCCCTCTTTCATGATGGAGGGATGCCGAACGTGCTGAAACGTGCATGCGTCAAAGATTGATTTGATTCATATATGGGTGTTTAACGCCCCAAAAACTACCATATGTTTATTATGAGAGACGCCGTAGTGGAGGGCTCCGGAAATTTCAACTACCTAGGGTTTTTTAACGTGCACCCAAATCTAAGCACACGGGCCTACAACATTTCTGCCTCCATCGGAAATGCAGCCACCACAGCCGGAATTCAGCAGCCGAGTACCTTAGCCACTAGACCACCATGGCGTGGCGTGCGGCAAAGCAACGCAGCGCGGCGCGTGCCTGCTAGTATACGGCAAGACTGGTGCCTGGCGTGGCAACGCCGGCTTGACGCGACGAAATGAACACTGGCCAGAACGCGCACTGCATGACATCGATATATATTGGCGCCTTGACTTATGATATGCAGTCTTATTCTCACATGACACGCATCTCATGATTCGGCACCAGTCACATATTTTCGACAAAGTTTGGTATATCTGAAGCTAGCGAAACGGCCACGAGCCCATCATGAGTGTAGTATGTAGTCATGTCGTTGCATGACAGGTATCGCATGTTTATCATGTTTGCTCCAGTATCATACCTTCGCCATCCATTTACGTCCCGTAAAACCAAATTTGGTATAAGTGAAGCTAGCGAAACGGTCACGAGCGCATCATGAGCGTGGCATGTAGTCATGTTGTTACATGACACGCATGTATTGATTTTCATGTTAATGTTGGTCGCTTGTGTTCGGCATGCAATGCTGTCATACAATACCTCTTTTGCAACATACCATGTGAACGAAACTACTGCAAGAGCTGCAAGACCGTGAAATATAAACCATGACACTCATGACATACATGTCGTGATTTTCATGTGTCGATTAGTCAAATATCTTTTTCATACATTAGTGTTATGCCATACCAAGTTTGGTATTGATACCATTATCGAAACGGCCAGGACAGCTGAAAGTCTTAGGCGGCTAAATAGATAGATTGATAGATTGATTGATTGATAGATAGATAGATAGATAGATGGATAGATAGATAGATAGATAGATAGATACGCTCAAATCCGCCGAAGTTTTTAAAAATGCTTCGCGTATAAAAGCCAGCAGCGAGCAAACTAGTGGATCTCATATATGCAATCAATAATATGCAAAGCACTAAGAGGAAAGGTTGAATTCTCACAATAAAATCAGCAAAACGTTATGGCGTGAACGTAATTTATGCCGCACATGACTTCCATGTCATGAGTATCGTGTTTGCGCCTGGTATCTGTGGTCTTCTCCTATTCACGTCACACAATACCGAATTTGGTATGTGAAAATAGAGAAACAGCAGCGAACGCGCTGTGAGCGTAGCATTTAGTAATGTTTTGCTTAAAACGCATGCAGTTATCATCTTGTTGGACGTATCATTTATCTTCGTCGTTTATTTACGTCACGTAATATCAAATTTCAGAAACGTGGAGCTAGCAAAATGGCCAGGAGCGCACTATGAACATGGCATGTAGTCATGTTCTCAAATGACACGCATGTCGTCATCGTCATGTTTGCACCCGTCACATACGTTCATCATTCATTCATATCAAGTAATATGAAATTTGGTGTATGTGAAGCCAGCAAAATGACCGCAAGGGCATCATGAGCGTGGCATGTAGTTATGATCGTACTTGACACGCATAGCATGATCATCACATTTGCCCCACTACGTCACGTCAATGAATGCCTTCCTGATCTATTCACGTCACGTAAAACGAAATTTGGATTATGGGAAGCTAGAAAAAAGGCAATCGGGGTACTATGAGCGTAGATTGTAGTCATGTTTTGCGTGACACGCATTTCATGATGATCATGTTTGCACCAGGGATATACCTTCATCATACAATCACGTATCATGATACCAATTCTGGTACACGCGAACCTAGCGAAGCGACCATGAGCGCATCATGAGGGTCTCATGCATGTTCTTACTTGACACGTACCTCAGGATTATCATGTTTGCATGAGTGGTATATCTTCGTCATCCATTTATGACACGTAATATCAAGTTTTGTATATATAAAGCTGGTGACACGACCACGAGCACATCATGAGCATGGTAAGTAGTCTTGCTCATATTGCCAGCGTCTTATGAGCCCAAACACTGCAGAAACGCTGGTAGCACAAACGCTGCAAAGTCCCTTAAGGACTTTATACAAACGTGTTTCAAACGCACTCTATTGAGACGGTGGCAAGTCGCTTTCAAGTCAAGGAAGTGGGAGCTGTGGGTGCTAGGGCTGTAGACAGCCCCGCCGCGGTGGTCTAGTGGCTAATGTACTCGGCTGCTGACCCGCAGGGCGCGGGTTCGAATCCCGGCTGCGGCGGCTGCATTTCCGATGGAGGCGGAATTGTTGTAGGCCCGTGTGCTCAGATTTGGGTGCACGTTAAAGAACCCCAGGTGGTCTAAATTTTCGGAGCCCTCTACTACGGCGTCTCTCATAATCATATAGTGGTTTTGGGACGTTAAACCCCACATATCAATCAATTAGGGCTGAAGACAAGCACGCGCCCACAGCTGTTGCTGACAGCTGCCAACGCCAAAGTGTTCTAAAGGTGAGGGCTCCGGTTACTAGGAACGCGTGCGCCCGCAGCTGTACGTATTGGAGAGGGTGGTGGATGGATCCCGACGGACGCTTGATATAGCCGGACCAAGGAATGCATCCACATATAAAGCTTCGTTTTTTTAAACTATACGTACATTACGTTCATATCTACCGAAGCGCTTATTCGCCAATTTCTTAGCGTAGAACGTCTATTAGGCGTTCTATTCTTTCTTTCAAAACAAAACACATTCTCTTTTCAATTACCTTTGCCCAGGAAGCACACAAATATGCCGGTTGTTTGAAGTTTCGAAGAGCCCCGCCGCGGTGGTCTAGTGGCTAAGGTACTCGGCTGCTGACCTGCAGGGCGCGGGTTCAAATCCCGGCTGCGGCAGCTGAATTTCCGATGGAGGCGGAAATGTTGTAGGCCCGTGTGCTCAGATTTGGGTGCACGTTAAAGAACCCCAGGTGGTCTAAATTTTCGGAGCCCTCTACTACGGCGTCTCTCATAATCATATAGTGGTTTTGGGACGTTAAACCCTACATATCAATCAATGAAGTTGCGAAGAAGCTCTTTGACTCAAGTGTGTATAATCGTACGTAGGTGGGTCCGTGCGAACGCACTGCAACGCGTTCCCCTCGCCGATAGCGTTGGACCGGCGCCATGCAGGTCACGCCTAAGCTGCGCGTTAACGCCGCGCTCCCTTAGCACGCTTTTCTTGAAAGTTCGTGCTAGCGTCACTCTCTTCTTCACCCGCAGCACGCTCGCTGCAGCGCCCGCAACTGCCGGCTCCTCCGCCCACTCGCAAAACACTTCTCTTTCACTTCACGCTCTCCACAAGCCGCAAGGCTCAACCAAACGTCAAGTGAAAGCACTCTTTCGGCTCGTTTTTCTTTGCTGAAGCATACACGAAATACTACACGCGATCCGCGTCTCTGCGTTTCGAATAAACGTTTACTGGAGTATAGGTTACGCCATGTAAGCTTCAAACTAGTCTTCCAACACCCGCTTCGACGCCCGTTTTAACCGGGTCAACGCCGTGCACACCACTACTGCTTCGCTTCCTTTCAGTGTTTCTTTCGGGGACGTGGCCCCTAAGTATTTAGCACAATAAAGCACAGGATACACAACCCTCTTGAAATAATTCAGTTGTTTTAAAACTAAAATCGGCTAACCTGAAATTAAAAAAACAACTCTCATTTTTTCGCTCCGTTGCTGCAATACCAAACTAGTCCTACAAATTAAAAATTGTGCTGCTTTCCCGATGAACTTATAATTACCAGTATACTTAAGGAACATACACTTTTAAATTTATACAAAACGTTTGAATGTATGATTGCTGCTTGAACCAAAAATATTTGTTTTGCAAGTGAAGAAAGGTCACGTTTGTTTTTTGTTTATTTTTGTTTGCAGGCTGTAACTGCCCATGGAGAGGATTACGATTTCCACTGGTTCGTCAAATGTATCACTATAATCGACGTCGGCACCGGTGCGACCGAGGAGGACAGTTAGGAAACTGCAATTCATTTATTACCTACCATGAGTGCATTAGAACATGTGTTGCGGGCAGGAGAGGCCGGTAGCGCGCCACAAAAAAATTAACGAAAAAATACCAAATGTTCCATGACTGAGTAATAACAAAAATTTCTCTTGAGCGAGCTCTAATCTGTTAAACCCATGACTTCTACTCGGCCGAATACTCAGGTCAACGGCCCGGCAGACCACATCACTTAAAAAGTCGTTCGAAGAAATCAAGCCGTCTACTGTTCAACATATTTTTAGTCAAACACGGCAGAAATGTAGTTTCTGAACCAGGAAGTCCATGTTCTTAAAACCATGTTGTACAGAAGTATTGTACCTTTGCAAGTGAGGAAAATTTCCTGCTGGACAGAGAGGCTGAGTAATCTGTCCAATAACATAGATTATCCATTCATATGCACACTAAATATATTATGCATTGTTACAAATAGGTGAATAATTTATGACAGAGGGAATAAACATTGGCTGCGTATCTTCAAAGGACGTTTCTTACGATTGCCTTCTGTCAGAAGGCGCTTTGTGAGATGGGGCACCATGAAGAAGTAACATGAAAAAAAAGAAAGCTTTATGGGCGTAGCTCCTTGAGGCGTGGGTCGGTAGTCACCTGTATGTATACATGCGCGCAGTAGCCACCTCACAGCATATTCACGAATTGAATAATGATGAGCGGGGCGAAGCTTCAGAGGGTTTTATTGGCAAACTGTGGTTCACCCGCTAGCCACATTCTTCTGCCTGTCTGCCTGTCTGTCTGTCTGTCTGTCTGTCTGTCTGTTTGTCTGTCTGTCTGTCTGTCTGTCTGTCTGTCTTTCTGTCTTTCTGTCTGTCTGTCTGTCTTTTTGTCTGGCTGTCTGTCTGTCTGTTTGATGCAGGACGAACGCACGGACGGACGGATGGACGCATTCAAGAACGTGTGGATGGACAGACGGACAAACGGACGCACAGATGGACAGATGGACGCATGAACGTACAGATGGACGAAAGCAAGAACGAACGGAAGGGCGGAAGCGTGAAAGAACTGGCAGACGCTGCCCCACCTATCATTTTTACTTCGTGGAGAGAGAAAGAGACGCAAGTTTATTTTAAAAAAAATGTCCAGCGAGTTGTTCAGGGATGTGGGCATATGCTGTCATTTTTTAAGAACACAGAGCCACTGGTAGGTGGCAAAACCATGTCTTATTAGCTAATGCCTCTATTTTATCTAGGAACCTTAGATTTAGTGCATCTTACACAACTCCCGCTTTTTCATTCGTAGCGTCGTATTTTCAGCCCAATGAAAAAACTTTGTGGTCTTTGAAATTACGTATGTATTCATTTCGTAAATTTGGAAAAGAACTCACTGCCTAACACTTATGAGTTGACTTTGTGCCTATATTTGTTTTTTTATTGACAATATTCAAAAGTACAATTGTAGCCACAGGATCAGGATGGGTGGGCGCTGAGCAAGGGGTTAAAATTTCATCGCGCTGCTGAGTCTTTGGACAGGGGAACCAACAGACACACCGACAGTCAGACAGATAGAAATTTCTGCATTGAAGTATCCCCAAAAAGACAGTCGTATTTAAAACATACAACAGAGGCTGTTTCTCACGATGCGCTGTGAAGGTACCTCAACAGCCTCTGAATGCCTTATACGGCAATGATTCTTGTGACAACTGCGGTGTGCTGCGCAGGCAACGTCTGTACACCAGATTTATTCTAGCGTAGGTGTCTGAAATTCACTTCAGCGAAATTTCAGGTAATGTTTTCATTTGAAAAAAGTAACTTCCAATACATCATCTCCTTTCCAGTCTTATTTCTTGGAATGGAGGAGGAGGAAAGATTTAGCGGAAGAACAGGGACGTTAGCCAGTTTTTAGACCGGCTGGCATCCCTGTGCTGGGGAAAGAGGTAAAGGGAACTAAAGAAGATTGAAAAGAAATATTGTAAAGAGAGAAAGACAATACAAAAAATAGTGAAATAGGAAAGGCGACATCAAACAGAATAAGACACTAAATTATGTCTATGAGGCCAGTTGTCCACAAAAAGCGCAGCATATTTTTCAAACCCTTTTGGTCGAAAGATAGGCTCGGCCACTGACCAAGAATCCTTTGCAACGCAAAGGCCGATCATCTAGTCTATCCAGAGCTTCAGTAAGTTCTGGTCTTGGCTCGTTGAAGGGGGCTCACGCAAATAGAAGATGGGCAAGGGTTTTTTCGCAGCTGCACTAAGTGCATGTAGAAGAGCTGGCGATTCCAATAAGATAGGCGTATGCGTTTGTGAAGGCCACTTCAAGCCACAGACGGCATAGATGAGTCTCCTCAGCTCAAGATAGTCCTGAGGGAAGACGAAGCTGGAGATAAGATTCCAAGTTACGCAGGCATGCGTTTTTGAATTCTGTTGAGTTAGATTGTACAAGTGTGACATCACGTTGAAGCGAACGAGGTCTTGTTGCGTCGGTTCTTGAGAAAGGGATAGCGGTGTATTGCGTACCGTGTGTGCCGATTTAGCAGCCTCATCTGCGCGCTCATTGCCATATGAGCTGCAATGACTTGGTATCTACTGATACACTATGCTGTGTTGTTTCTCGATTGCTTGGTGATGAAGAAGCCTCAGTTCAGGTACTAACTGTTCATTAGGTCTATGGCGAAAGGATGGCATGAAACATTGAAAAGCTGGCTTCGAGCCCAAGAAGATAGACGAAGTTTTCGAGTGTTGTTCAGCTATGAACTCCAGAGCTCCACGTATGGCATTGAATTCTGCAGCTGGCACCGACGTCAAATGCGATGTCATGAGTATAATTGTGATGAACCCAGCGGGAATAACCACTCCTCCTTCTGCGCTTACTGATGACACAAAGTCACCCTTGTAAATGTGAAAGCGTTTGTCGTGCTTCTCTTGCAGAAAAAGTAATGTGGCCTGTTTAAAGGCTAGATGCAATGAAGTTTTCTTATTTTGGATGTAATTATTTGCAAGAAGGGCTTTGAGTGCGTACAGGCACCACAGTAGTAACGGCGACTGTGCTTTATGCGGGAAGTGCATTGGAAGCACTGCGCAATGCTGAGCTACAGCAGCGCTGAACGCTTAGTGGGGCCTAGAAGTTCATGAGGCGAGGCGATTTGACGGGATCCGAGCGAGATGTATCAGCGGCATTTTCAAAGCATCTACCCGGATGCATGTGTTGAGTAGATAATCACGCGCAATGATGACTGCCCCAGCTGTAGATGCGCATCTGGGAAGACCAAGTTGAATTCGCACTGCTTGGGCTTGGATATACTGGAGGACGCGCAACTTTGTTCTTCGGATCCCGCACAGCACGCGTAATCAGTAGCACATAAAACCGAGGAACAGAACAGTTTAGAGTTGAAGCATCGCTCGTACCGACGGACCCCACGTTTTTACAGCAAGAACCGTCAGTACGTGGGTGATTATAGTGAGTTTCGTTTTCATGTGGGTGATGTGAGGGCTTCAGGAGAGGTCGCGATCAACTATGACTACAAGGGATTGGTGAGTTTTCACGTATTTTATTGTGTGTTCATTATATTGAGAAAACACATGGACCCATCGCCTTATGCGTAAATGCTATATGCGAGCCCTTCTCTCTACACAGCTCATGTCCTCGTTTTTCAAGGTACTATTTCGCTAGTGTAACTCCTCTCTGAAGCCGGGCACGCAAATGAAGGCGTGTAACACCTTGCTCCCCGATGCAGATGTCATCTGCATATACTGATAGATGTACTAAATGTGCGTCAATCAGGCCGAGGAGCGCTAGATTTAAAAAAGCGGGGCTAAGAACACCACCTTGAGGCACGCCACGACGGATGCAATCATGTGTTGTCGTGCCCTTCTCCTGCTTCACAAAGAACGCTTCGCCCTTCAAATAGCTGTCAATCCATCGGCGTACCCGAACTCTAATCTAATATTTTTCATGGGACATCCAGAATGGCTTCATGCGATACAATATTGTATGCGCCTTTCACGTCCAAGAACAATGCCGCAGATAAACGTTTTCGCCTTTTTTGATGCTGCACAGATGAGACCAGGTCAATAACGTTATCAATAGTGCACCACCCACGCCGAAAGTCCGTCATAGCATCAAGATATACCTCGTGGTGCTTCAGATACCACTCTGGGCAAGTTATAATCAACCTCTCTATCACTTTCCCGAAACAGCTGGCAAGCGCGATGGGGCGATAAAAGGTCAAGCCTAGAGCATATTTACCAGGTTTAAGCAAAGGGACGAGGCGGCTGGATTTCAACGAAGCGACAAATCCGCTGCTTCACGAGTCGTTGTATACCGATAAAAGGGCCCGTCGAGCTGCTTCATCGAGATTGCGAAAAACCATGTACGTGATCCCATCCGGAACAGGCAAAGTACGAACTTCAAGCGGCCGTCAAGGCCGCTTGAAGTTTCTCTAAAGGTAAAAGGTGTCCATTCTAGAATCTGTGCAAACTGGTGCGTTTTCTTGGGGACGCGTGGTGCACGCGTACGCCTGACCGGAAATTTCATGCAGAAGTATTTTGCAACTTACCTTTCGGTGCGGCGTTGGTGAAGAGGCAGACACTTGAAGGGGCAATGTTTATGCGGCGATGCTCGTAGGCCACGGACAATCTTCCATGTCTGCGTCAAAGGCTTGCGTGGATCCTGCGATTCACACAGAGATTTCCACGAAAATGACTAAAGTGAGTTGATTCACCGCTGAAGTTTTTTTAGTAGACGCCTTGCCTCGCTCAAATCGTGAATGAACTTTGTGCACCTGTATAATCCTAAAGCCCGACAATGGATCGCTCTGAGCCGTTCCAATTTCGCTTCATGTTGACAATAATTTGAAGTATGTTCAATAGAATAAGTCGCTTCTTGAGCAGCACTTTTAGTGATATCCTCGAAGGTGTCAAAAGAAGGCGCTTCATTTTCTTGACTCCTCCCTTCTGCCAGTGACCTGAACTTCGTCTAATGGATGCGAGTCAAAGTGTCGCAATGGCATCTGCCATAAGCATACGAGAAAAATTCATACCGCTCCTCAAGCTTACTAAAATGTGTGCGCTGATTTCTGAATACGCAGCCTTCATTTCATCATTAGGATTTAACACGCCTTCTGATCACTGCAAAGACTGAAAACGTTTTTCGCCTCCTTTGAAGAGTCCCAGACA